GAAAGAGGAGTTACTGGTTTTCTCTGTTGTGTGTATGTGTGTTTGTGTGTGTGTATGTGTGTTTTATATATAAGTGTCTTTATTTCTTTTTTTCATGACAGAGGAACAAAGAAAGAAAGAAAGAAAAAAAAAAGACAAACACCCTCAACAGGGTACCATGTCATGATCTCCCCTCATCTTTCCCAGGCAGTTCAGCATGAGTTGACCCAGGAACTGAACCCCAGTCATTCACATGGCTTCCAGCACTGCAGAGTTGTGCTACCACTTCCCTAGTGCAGCTTGGCCCAAAGGTGGTGTTCTCTTGCTCCTTCCATACGCTCCTTAGTTTCAAAGGTGGTGTGGGCACAGGGTAGAAACCTATCCAGTCCTCATTCAATAGAATTGAAAACTGTGGCCTGAGAATATATCACAGGATATTTGGAGTGCTTTTCCATTTTTGTCTGCATTAGAGGGTAACAACCAAACTAGTTTGCACCTTCTGAGCTTATAATTGGATAATAATGGAAGCTGGCCAAACAGGGGCAAAAATTCCAAATTAATTATTTTTAGACAAATCCACTAAGTGATAAACCACAAGGGGATAATTAACATTAGTTGAAATTTAGGAATTGACTGAAAGTTGATAGAAAGTGAGTCTATATAATGACATTTGTTCTCATATTTTGTTATGTTGTAGGCTTGAAATAATTACATGTAACACACTAATTACACCTAAGTACAATTGCACCAAATTACACCTATATGTATGCACACACGCATCACATTTAACCATAATGAGATAAAAATGTGATTTTTAAAAACACTCACATACTGGACCTCAGTAATAAACAATTGCTACCTTATTCTTCTGTATTGATTTTAATTTATGATGTAATGGTATGATTTAAAGATGAAGGGAGAAATAAGCTAAGTGCTAAATTCTTTCAGAATACTGTAGCACTTCTGAAAAACAATATGCACTTTCTTTTTCTTCATTTTTTTTTTTAGAGAGATTTTTGCCTTAGGTCATGTGTACTCACCAGGAAGAAAGAGAAAAACAAAAACAGTAGGAGAGGATGGCCACGCTGCAATCCCTTCTCTTCCATTCTCCTCCCAGGATTTTGGCCACACACACACACACACACGCCCAGTATGTGTTAAAAGCCACTGGGTCCAGGACTAGAACTGTGGTCGACCATGTAAGAGTCCAGTGACATAACTGCCATGCCATCTGCCGGCCCCAACAGTATGTGCTTTCTGACATTGGAATTGGATATGACTGAATTTGAATAAGAACTATTTCTTTTGTTGAAATTTACTTACTCTGGCTTTCACAAAACTCCTCAGAGGGTGTGGAGTACTTGAAGCTAGCTAGGGCTGAATATCATCCCTGGTGTTAGAGCAAACTTTTGCACCCCCTGCCCCCACTGCACACACATACCACATCCAGTTCTTAAAGGACAGGGAGAGCTATCCAGGCTGGTTGTCCCTCCTCTCCATCCTGAGGGAACACAGAGACAGGAGGCTGGACCCTCTACCTCTCAGATTCTGTCCCACACTGAGAGCTTAGACACTCCCTTCTGCGGCATAGCCACAAGTGTACATTGTGGGAAGAATCCCCACGGGCTCATCTGAGTAGCAGGTGAGGGTGTGGGGAAGCCTGAAGCCACACAGCAAATAGTCCAGGACACTTCTCTGTCCTTAGTGCTATCCTGAGCCCCAGATAGATGCCAAATGTCTCAGAATGTCTCTGCCTCCTGAGACCAGGGATTTCTACTTCCTCATTGCACACTTGGTTGGGGTCTGGGGAAGTACCCTTCCCATGCCCTCCTGCAATATTTCCTAAAGACTAGGAATTAGGAATCCTGTAGGGCCTGTGTGTCAGGTGGGGTTGAGGGATCCCTCACATCGTCAGTCTCGCAGATTACTCAGAGCTCTTCTCTAAAGTTGGATCTCCCCAGCTCTCGGTAATAGGGGCATATATAAGGTATCCTAAAGTATGGCCCTGGCCAAGCTCCCTTGAGGAGTGCTGCTCCAGACCCAGGTGGTGGCTGAAATCAGTAAGACTAAGAGTGAAATCTTAGCACCACTATAAAACCAAGATATGGAGGCAACCTATGTGCCTGTCAAGGTATGATTGCATAAAAAAAAAAAATGTGATAAAGCTGTATCTTCACAACAGGCTAAAAGGGGGATCCCGCCATGTATGACTACACAGAGGAATACCGGTGATGTGATGTTAAGTGAAATAAGCCAGACACAGAGAGGCAAGTCTGTGTGATCCCACTTAGACCTGCAACCTAAGGACAATTGAGCTCTCAGATGTGAAGGGCAGAAGGGTGGCCATTAGGAGCTGGAGGCTGGGGAGATGGGCAGAGGTTGGTCAAGGGTTACAAAGGGTCAGTTGTGCAAGGTGAATAACTTCTGGATATTTAAAGTACAGTATGGTGGCTATGGTTAATAATTCTGCTTTGCATACTTGAAATTTGTCAAGAGAGTTGATCATAAGCATTCTTAGCACATCCTCCCCCCTCAAATCGTAATATGGGATGCTATGGAGGTGTTAATTAGCTTGACTATAGTAATCGTCTCACAGCAGCTACATCAAATCATCACCTTATACACCTTAAATATATGTGATAAAGCTGTATCTTCACAACAGGCTAAAAGGGGGATCCCGCCATGTATGACTACACAGAGGAATACCGGTGATGTGATGTTAAGTGAAATAAGCCAGACACAGAGAGGCAAGTCTGTGTGATCCCACTTAGACCTGCAACCTAAGGACAATTGAGCTCTCAGATGTGAAGGGCAGAAGGGTGGCCATTAGGAGCTGGAGGCTGGGGAGATGGGCAGAGGTTGGTCAAGGGTTACAAAGGGTCAGTTGTGCAAGGTGAATAACTTCTGGATATTTAAAGTACAGTATGGTGGCTATGGTTAATAATTCTGCTTTGCATACTTGAAATTTGTCAAGAGAGTTGATCATAAGCATTCTTAGCACATCCTCCCCCCTCAAATCGTAATATGGGATGCTATGGAGGTGTTAATTAGCTTGACTATAGTAATCGTCTCACAGCAGCTACATCAAATCATCACCTTATACACCTTAAATATACACAATTTTCATTTGTCAAGTATACCCAAAAAAAGCTAGAAAAAAAAAGAGCCAAATGATAAAAAGTAATGAAAGTTATTGAGAATCTACTGCCGGAAGGCATTGTGCTTTCATATACTGCCTTGTTACGTCATTGCAACAACCCTGTGTTGTCAGTTTCCCCGTTTATAAGTGAGGAGACCGAGTATCAGACTGGTTAGGAATATTCAGTTACTTAGCTAATCAGAATGTCAAAAGCCCAGCTCTGATGGAAGACGCTGGCTTCCCAAATGTCAACTGATGTAATTAAGAGTTTGAAAACCTTCCTCACAAGAGCATTATTATTTCCAGTGAAGAATGCCTCCAGCCTAACAGGTGAGAGAATAGGCAGTTATCACCAAGAGCCATGGGAGGAAAAAAAAAATTACAAACATTCTTCACAGTGATAATGCATTTGTGGGACAAAAATGCTAGCTATTAAAATATTCCATGAACAGAAAGTGACTTGACCCAATATCTCCCATAAGCATTTACAGTATAAATGGGCATCTGGTATTTGCATGCCTTCAAAGTTTCCTTTGGTTCATCGCTAGGATTCTGCAAATAACCCAGTTCTGTTAAATTATTGATTAAATGCAAGCCATTTGCAAACTCCAGCTGAGGCTTAACTGCTGAGGGGCTGCAGAGAAACCACAGCGAAAGATAAGGAGAGGGAGAGAAAACAGTAATTGTTTCTGGATTTCCCCGTCTGGAATTTACATGGTGTGTTTCATTACCCGTTTCCTGGTCTTGTCTTTAAGGAATGGCTTGATGAGAGTGTACAGGGCGTGGATGTACCAGGGCTGGTTGACAAAATGGACTCCTCCGAAGCGGGCAGGAAAGCTGTCCTGGGGCAGAAAGAAAAATGCACTTAGTAAGCACTCTAGGTCAGTTCGGACCAGAAGCACTGCAGCCTGCAAAAATGCCATTTCTTCTCTTTGCCTTCAGGGTGGAGGGTGGAGAAAGGAAGAAAACACACGTCCTTTCTTGCTATTCAGGTCTCTCTATTCCCCTTCTCTTACTCCTCTCCCTTTCATCCTACACCATAACTGTGCCAGGTGCCAGGCTTGTCTTTTCTGAATCACAACGATATGACCTGCCCACGATTCCAAAGCTCATGTGGATCATGAGACAAGTCTGGTTCTTCGCGTGTTAGATAACTCACTTCAGTTCCTGCAGGCTCTAAGTGCAAGCAAGAGCTCTCCTTGCTCCCCTTCTCTGTTAGCTCCCCTTCTTGGTTCTTTCCTCCCCCCCTCCACTGCCTTATCATGACAACTGGGGAACTTTCTGGGTGAGTGAGCACTGGTCTGTAGGAAGACATTGCAAAAAGATTTCAAAGGATCTTTAGAGGTGGGCCTCTCCAGAATCAACCAAAATCTAAGGAGGTTTTACCATTTCCTCATCTTCACAGGTTCTTGACTAACTCCTGACCCACCCTAGGGGGACACAGTGGGAAAAAGACACTCCTTGGCTGATGGGCAAGTTGATTTCTCAACTGAGAAGACATGGGCGTCCTTTCTGTGGACACATTTGCAAATATCCAGAAATGAAAGCATTTCTTAAATGGCTCCAATTTTGGAATCCAGACCAGGGCATCAGCGTGTGTTTCAGAAGCTGGGAAGCTGCTTTTTGGTGCTAATTAGATCCTCCAAGCCAGGGACCTTGATCACAAAGTTTGAGTAAGTCCCAGACTGGTTCATCTTGGCTAATGAAATGAAAAAGGAGGAATGCTAAATGCTATTTGAATTGTTAGGCTTGCTGTCAATCAATTTGCAACAAACATCTTTGTAAAATCTTAGCAAGGCGAGATGAGAGCAGAAGGCACCTGGCTGCCTGAGCTAACAGTTCTGGCAGCCGGCTGCCCCCTGCGGGTATATGAAATGCCTTCCCTGGGTCTTTTTTAGTAATGAGGAAAGAGGGTTATTAACTTTTTTTGGGAACCCTTTGAGTCCACAGATCCCTAGGCATCTTCCACACGGAGACCTAGTTTCCAGTGTAAGTACATGAAACTGCGCTTAAGGGTTGACATTTGAAAACCTTAAAATAATTTTTGCCTCCATCTAGCCATTTTAGGGAGTAAATGGAAATTAAGCATTTGAAGACTAACCTGGAATAGTTCAGTGAGAGGTCTCTACTTTGCAAGACACATGTCTTTTGTTTTGTTTATTTCAATTTTAAAAACCTAATGGAACCACCCATTGAAGGGATACTATTTGTACGTTAGTTGTGATCCTCTCACTATTCCAAATCTGATTCTAAAAATATGAAAGTGCTTCATAAGGCTATTTTTTTCTCTTTTATGTACAGTTCAGGGTCTAAAAATTCTTTGCCCCTTCTGAAGAGACCATTCTAAAAGGTATTTCTTTTGTAATAAGTGCCAATCACTAGCCTTAGCTTCAACTCTTTTTACTTCTTATTCACTTCATTATTTCACACAATAAATGTAGGCTCTCAAGGGCTTCATAAAAGAAGAACAAAAGGAAAGTGTTTATTTATAAAATTGAGTTTTACTATCTTTTTAAGTAGAACCAATAAGAGAATTGTTATTTCTATTTATAATCCATTGTCTTTTACATTTCTGGCTAATAAAGAGAGAAGATTCTAAATAATACTGAGAAACAGCAGGCAAAATCGCGAACAAAATATTAACTCCCCCCTCCATAGTGGCACATGTACTGAAGACAGAGAGAGAGAGGAAAAGTGAGAAAGCACCCCATCCCCAAGGAGGATGGTCACACTGCAATCCCTTCTCTGTTACTTTCTCTTTTGCGGATTTTGGGAGCAGACATGCATCCAGTTGGTTTCTAAAACTACTAGGTCCAGGACTCAAACTGGCCAGTTGGCCATGAAGGATCTAGCTACGTTAACCACCAAGTCACCCACCAGCTGGTCCAAACAAATTAACCTTTTAAAAATGACTAGAGACTCTTAGTTTTAGTCTACAGGATCTCAATTATTAAAGACATTAAAAATACTGCATCGGAGAGATTGAAAGAGAAAAGTATACGGCTGGGATCCTGTAAATCCTCCCTAGCACGGCCCTGGTTGCTGAGGCTGCCGGGTCGAAGGTATGGGCATCGAATGATCCCATTCAAGTCAGATGGTAAGACTGCTCAGCTAAACACGTGAAAACCCTGTGCCTCAGTGTTCGGAGTGGGGCCCAGAGTAGAAACAGGATCACTTTTCTTCAGGTCCTTCTTATAAAATTCAAGTGAAAGGCCCTCCTGTCCAATAAAGGCAAGGTGCAAATGTTCTATGTATACCTGAATGAGCCTGGTGTATGTGTGTGTGTGTGTGTATTGCATTGCATAGAGGAAGGTGAAAAAGGGAAAATTAGCAAACACAACCCTCTGATGGCCAACGCCCATCATTCTTGGTCACCTTTGCTTGTTAGTAACAAATTAGCAAACAGTAAATAAAGGAGAAGTTGTCAGTCACACAAGTCAGTCTTCCAGGACACCAAGGGTGTCTATTGACTCATGTAGGTGCATTTCTTAGGAGCTGAAGCAAACTTATATCAAGGTTCAATGATAGGGAACAGTAGATGGCATAACGGTTACCTCGCTGAACTCCTATATAGTTGGCCACGGATCAAGTCCCAGACCAGTGGCTTCAAATTCATGCCGGGCATGTGTGCCTGCATGCCCCAAATCCCAAAAGGAGAATGAAGGAGAAGGGATTGTCATGTGGCCATCCCCCCCAGGGGGGGATTTCTCACTTTCTGTCTCTGTCTCTTCAGTGAGTGCATGTGCCCTATAGCAAAAATCCCTCTCAAAAAAAAAAAAAAGTTTCAATGACAATGCTGCACTTTCTTTCCTTAGAATTCTTAGGGACTGCAGTTCACGCACTCAAACATGCTCTAAGTTCAAAAAAATTATGTTAATTCAATATATTTTATACATGTATCAATGAAAATAAAACATCATTTCAAGTGATTACGTATTCAAATCACACAATGTGTCTGCCTGTTTCTTTTAAATTAAATTTGTTTTCTCATGACAAAAATAATATACATTCTAAAAAAGTGAAAAATAGATAAAAACATTATTTTCATTTTGTTTTTAAAATTTGCTACAGGGCACGTGAGCTCACTGGAGAGACAGAGAGACAAAGAGAGTGACAAAAAGTGAGACGTCACGCCCCCCCAGGTGGGATAGTCACCCTGCAATCCCTTCTTCTCTATGCTTCTCCTGGGATTTTGGCATGCACACATGTGTGGTGTGTTTTTCAAACTGCCAGGTCCTAGACTCAAACCACACAGTCAGCCATGTGAGATCCAGCCGCCTTAACCACCATGCCGCTTGATTGGACCAATAGAAACATACATTATTTGAAATTTTAGGAAATTCGAGGAGACAGAAAAGAAGAAAAGAAAAATCACCTATAATCCTGTTGCGAAAGAACACATTCTTACTATTTTCTATCATTTGGGATAGACTACGGCATATTTTAGTATCAAACAACCTTTACTTTTTAATCATTTAAAAGTATGAAGGTTGCCCAACCAAACGTCCTGTGTGTTTTGTCCTGCCTGCCTGAGCCATAGCTCATACTAAATGTCCTGCCCTATTTGGTTTATTCTCACCAGGAGCGCAGCCTCCTCTATCGGGATCAGGCCTGCCAGCCACAGCCCAGGAAAACCTTGTGAAAGAATCATACCTGAATTCCTTTGTAAAATTATTATTTATTTCTTGGGACCAGCAGTTAGTGTAATGGCTGTCGCTGGATTCCCATGTAGTCGACTGCAGTTCGAATCCTGGGCCCGGTGGCTTCAACTCACGCCAGGTGCATGTGCGTGCGTGCCCAAGATCCCAAGAGGAGAATGGAGGAGAAGGGATTGCGGCGTGGCCATCCCCCCTGGGGGGTGATTTCTCACTTTCTGTTTCTCTGTCTTTCCAGCGAGTACACATGTCCTATAGCAAAAACCTCTCAAAAAAATTATTTATTTCTTAGAGAATGAGAAAAAGGTACTCTTGATAGGGTTTCCCCACACCACAGTCCTGTCCCTAGCTTCCCAGCCAGCAAGGATCAAGGCTGCCCCTGGGCACACCTAGTGTGCTCATGAGAGTGGGGATCCTAACCTGGGCCTCCCATCTGGTTCCAGTATTGCATGGTGGTGCCCTCCTGTCTTCCTTACACAGCTGGGCCACACCTCAGCTGTCATGATTGGTCTCTGAAGTGACAGGCTCCTTATCTCACTTTTTACAGGCTACACAGCCTGACCTCCAAGGGCTCAGGAAGTGGAATTGTACCACATGCCTAGCAAGAGACAGACGGAAAGCATTGGCGAGTAGCACTGACGATTACCCAGACTCCAGTCCTGCCCTGTCCCGCCCTGCCTTTCTTCTTGCCTTGCCTATTTTCCTTTCTAAATGAGATCGGAAAAAAAAAAATAGATGAATTTCACTGATGGCCTACAATATAACCAACTTGATGCTGGTGATCCATTATCAAAAAATGCAAATAGAGAGTAGACAGAGTGGTGGAGAAATCAGAAAATGGCAATTGTGTAATAATTTGTTTAGAGTCATTCATTCTTCCCTAACCAACTAGTTTGTGCCTTGTACCTCTTCAATTCAGCACATATTTGTGTCTCCAGTACATGGGAAACTAGGTTATGCTCGCTAAACTGCACTTGCTAGAAACTGCCATTGACCAGAGCCCTCAGGGACTTCAACTCATTTTCCTGTAACTTGAGCTCTACCCACAGCCCACAGGGCTCAGCCAGCAGTTTCATTTTAAGGTGAACTTACCATAACAATACACCCTCTCAGAAAATGAGGCCTTTAAACCTTAGATAAGTAGCAGTTCTCTGCATCTCAGTTACTCACTGTCTGATTCATAGCCT